AAATCCGAGTACGGCAAAAGCTAGGCCGTTTTAGAGGCGGATTTCATCTTAAATACGCTCACTATACACAATTACAGCACACACTCACCCTCTTCTGCGTCACTCCGGAGTAAGTGTTTATTCTCGCTTGCTCAAAAAAGATGTATCGCAGAGAGGTTCTGCGTTAAATTTCTGCGTGCGTCTCCTCGCTTGTCTCGGTATTCGTCGCAGTCCGCTTCTCGCATCGTGTCTGTCGTGTCATGTTCGTCTGTGCTGTGGGCTCACAGAGATGAGAGAGAGAAGATCTCGCAGAGCAGAGAGAGCTCGATGTGTCTCTGTTTCGTGTTGTTGAATGTGACAGCAGAGAAGAGAAAGAGATGCACGAGATTCGAGGAACGGAAGGGAGGGAGGAAGCGGACTGGAAGGGCAGAAAGACGAAGAGAGAGAGAAAGAGAAAGAGAGAGCAGGAGAGAGAGAGAGAAGAGAGAAGAAGAGAGAGAAAGAGAGAGAGAGAGGAGAAGAGAGAGAGAAGAGAGAGAGAGAGAGAGAAGAGAGAGAGAGGAAAGAGGAAAGAGAGAGTGCGCAGAGAGAACTAGAGAAGTGTGTGGCGTCCGCTTCTCTCAGCTCTAGCAGGTCTCGTGTTGTGTGAGTAGAAGACGTATGACACGAGGTCCTTGTAGGTCGCATAGTCCGCTGCCACACCTCCGGAGGGTGCGCAGCGGGGCACGTCTGCGTTCGGTTCGTATGAATCGACTCTCGTGCGCGGTGTAAACTCCCCTCCTAGAGCTTTTGAAATATAATAACACTAAACTCAATCTACGAATCTTATACTGCGCTCTAGCCACTCCCATACAATTCTCTTTATTTGAATCATTCCTCCGCTTACTCTAACTCTCTCTCTCTCTCTCTCTCAAATTTCTGTATATATAAGCTACTCATATCTTGTACTTGTTGTTCGTTTTCCTATCTCACAACACTTTATCTTCTCCTTCATTTTTAAGCCATTTGGCAAAGACTATTAACATTCTCGATGCTTTACTTAAACACTGTCCTCTCTGGTACCATATATGTTTCCATATTACTCTATTTCGTCTCTCCTACTCCTCGAGATTCGACTTATTATGGACCTATATAAGGCCGACTGAGTCTCTTTGTTTATCATGCTTAGCGCACCTCCCGCCACCCGCAACCACCCCACAGAATGCCCCCTACGAACTACCCCTCTCAGCCTCCCTCTCCCAACACCCAGCGAGCACTCACGGTCCCGACTCCGGGGGCTGCTGGGCCGGCATGTTATTATACGCTGCACCGGCCACCGGCAGCCAGCAAATCAACAATGTTACAGATCAACCATCGACGTGAGCCACATAAGACAAGTCGCACAAGAACATTAAAACAACAGCACGAGATCGACCCGAACACTAAGCGCAACACCACTCGACAGTGGCACTGCGAATTTATCGAGTAGAAACTTCTGAGGCGGAAGTACACCCGGTGGTCACTCGAGATGTTTTGTAGACATGGCTTGTGCCCAGAGTATCGTTGGATCATAAACAGATAACTGTTATCTAGTGGTTCGCCTACACATTGGCGCGAGCCTCTCAACCTAAGTAAGCGCTCAGACCTCTTAATGAACATCCTCTCATTTCTCCCGAGCTCTCTCACTCAATAGCGCGCAGCATATCCGCGATATACTCTGTTTAGCAGCCAGCTGATATAGCCATGAGATATATAGTACCAACTAACCCTATCTCATTTTCCCTAGCCTCGGCCATTCGCATCTAACCGACATAAATTACACACTGTTACACCCCACATTACCCTTGTAAACAGCAACTTTCTCACTCACGCAGACACACTCTTTATGGCCGCCCTATGTAAAAACAGTCCCGCGCGACACGGCCCGCAGTCCGCCGCGGCTCCGCCCTTCCCGCCGCGCGACCAAGCCCCTTCGGACGCCCTTGCACACACACACCGCCTACACACCAACAACCACCAACCCATTCCCCCTCCCTGCCCCACCGCTTGCCCCTCACCCCACCCTTCCCCACACCAAAATCAGCAACACCAACCACCCAAGCGTCTCACTTATCACTACCTCCCTCGCCGAGGCAACGATGATGAAGCACAAAAATTCGGGTATTTGGTACATGTCGCGCACTGCTACTCCCCTTTCACGACCAGCACGCTCACAACACTTCTCAAACATCGCCCTCTTCCCCCCGCGACGCCAGCGCACCATCGACGCACATACACTAAGCCAGCTGTTATACTTACCCTTTCCCCCCTCACCCCACCCTTCCCCCCTACACGCACACTAGTTATTATCCAATGACAGCGAGTCTAAGTGTTTCTACCACGCTAAATTCGTTCAACTTTGTCTCAGCAGCAGTGGCGCATTAAAACACTACAACTGTTAACTGTACTGTAAACTGTACTTCCGTAATGGTAGACTGTAGTGTACTGTACTGGGGCACTGTACCTCCACGTACAACTCGTACTGTCAGTGTACTGTAGTGAACTGTCACTTGCTGGGCAAGCTTGTACAACCTCACCATGTATGACGGGACTAACTGCAGCGCTCTCCATAACCATGACCTACGCTCGTTTCACTCTCCTCGTCTCTCTTCACCCGCCGCGTCTTTTGCTTCATCTTTTTAACATACTCTTTCTGCGCAGCCTAGTCTATACGTTGCGCCCCAGGCGACGCAGGCGGTTAAGCGTGATAGGCGCGTGCGGACGACTGCTCACCCCACCCTTCGCCCTCACGCGCGGAGAGCATCTGCATGTAGTAGCAAATGTACCCAGTAGCAACTATGGTTACATAGTAGAGCTGGCTTCGTGCTTCTGGTTTCCTAACCTTTCCCTTATGCGTCCGGGCCTCCTGACACGGCGGCACTGCGCTGCGGTGTGTCGTTGCTGTGTGTTGTGTTTTTTGTATACTAACGGTTTCACAAGGCTTAACTAAACACGACGGTTGTGCGCGGATGTGGAGGCGTATAAGCTGTGAGCGAAGCAGAGATCTCGCATCGGGTTGGCACAGCTCGTTTTTAACACGTGTCCTTTAATTAAGGTAACCACAGAGAGCTAGCAAGGACAGAAGCAACCACGCAGCAACAGTAGCCCAGCCGCTCAACAGTGCAGCAACAGTAGCAGGGCAGCAGCCCCAAGCAGCCACTGCACAGCTCTGACCAGCTATGGCCAGCGAGGCCTCTCCTCCCCTAGCTCCCCCTCCACCAGGCCCTCTACAGCAGCCAACAGCTCATAGCTACGCAGCAGCAGCAGTACTAGCTCAGCAGCGGAGCAAGACAGTGTAGCGCAGCAAGGGAGCGAAGGTTAGGAGAGCTGTGAGCTTCAGCAGGCAGCAGAGCCGCATGCACTACACGCAACACGGCGCATAGCATGAACAGCGGAGGTTAAAGCGAGCACCAACAGCCGCAAGCCGGCGGCAGCCACGCAGCCGACAGCTAGACAGCAGCACACGCAAGCACAGCCCAGGCATCAGTCGCGCGCGACAGCTAGCCCACGCAGCCAGGCAGCTGCGACAGTAATCACGCACACCCTACAGCGCCATCACGAGCGACAGTTGCACACCGCATAGCACAAGCAGGCAACAACCTGCCGGCCCTCTCTTAATCTACGTAGTCAGGATGCCCGAGCAGACGAGCAATGTTAGGTCGAAATGGACAGTGTGATATGAGATACTGGGAGCGAGCTAGGAAGCACCGGTAGGTGACGTCTTTCAACAGCGAGCCTAGGACGTAACGCAAAGTCAGAAAGTAAGCAACTAAAAGCACCCCACCACCTCCGACCATCCGCTGCCGGCACCAGCCCTCCTCCTCCACACTCAACCCGCGAGACCATTCCATGCACCCTTACCGCACCTAATCATTGGCGACACTAACGTTTTCTGGACAGAGTCCGATTCCGGCCAACTACTTTGCAAGCATGTACAGCCTCATGACTGACACTCTTACCATGTGTTTCACTATTCAAACACCCGTGACTGCGCAGATGGTAGCGATAGGAAGGTGAGGACGAGTATACAGTAAGTGAAAAGAGCTCAGCCTAAGTGGCGTCACAATCTCACACGACGACAAGACTATGAGCGCTATTGAGTTAACACAAACCACTTGCAGACTTGAGCCCACCAATTAGCCGACCAGACGCTCTTTCATCTTACATCATTCTCCCTGCCAATCACTCACCACATTGCCAGTTGTCTCGCATGCGCATCCCGTCATTGGGTCGCACCCCGTCGCAAGTATATTCACGTCATTCCATGGTGAGGCCGGAGCGGCCAAAGGGCAAGCATCACACTAGCTAATGCGGCCGCAGCCGACAATACACCTTGGCCGCCAGTGGTGACTCCTTACACATAGATTGGATGTCGCTCGAACCCACTCTAGTAGCACAAAGCACACACCAAACACATGACCTGTTTTCCAACACTCTTTCAGTCGTCTACGGCAAGTAGCAGTCACTCTGACGCCACTGGCCTATCCACATCTGACCTTATCCTCAGCCTTTCTTTCCTGCGTTCTCTACTCCCATCCTCATCTTCCTGGCCTCTCCCCTCACATTCTCGCCTCGTGCACTGTCCTTTCGTCTCTCCCTCTCCGTCTTCCATACTCTCACTCCTACACACACCCTTTCTCTATTTCACCTACGCACACCATGCTTCTATGCCTCTCCTTTCATCTCCTCCAACGCTCCCTCCTCACTACCTCGACAGACACCACCTCGTGTTGCCAGAGCTCTGTGTTAATAAGTGGTAATCTCACCGAGGCAAACATGGCGGTACCTGCCTGCTTTTTAGTTTAGAGTCCCTTTAAGAGAGAGGTGCCTCTATATAAGGGACTGCTACTTTTAGTCTAATCGCCGCGAATAATTCCGATCAAGTATTCCTTCAACAATTATGTTGTTCGTCCGTAGATTCAACGACATACAAACTACGTCTAATATGTTTATTTATTTGTAGCGAAATCGTACAATCCGTCACGGCTTCACACACAATTACACACAACACACAACATCAACACCCGGCGCGCGCCACACACCACATCAGTACACACACATACACACACACTACAGACCACACACACACACACCCCACACCAGCACACATAATCACACACATCAGCCACACACGCGCGCGCGCGCAACTCACACACTCCACAGGCCACACACCGCGCGCAGCGCCCCGCAGCACACACACAGCACATGCACACACAATATATTACACACACACACACACCACACACAACACACAAACACCCACCACAAACAGCACACACATACACACACGACACACATAACACCACACACACAACATGACCACACACACACAACCACAACACACACTACACACACATCACACACACACATACACATACAACACACCACTCACACACACGACACACCACCAGCCACACACACACACTAACGCGCGCGCGCGCATACACACACACGCTAATCAGAAAAAATTGTAATTCCATCAACGAATTATCCGGATCATTTTTCACGTAGATAGATGGCGCGCTGTGCAGCCGCCTTCCGGCGCGGGACGTCCCTCTCGACAGCGGTCGTTAACGCATGCGCATTAACGTTCAGAATACGCGCAGACGAAACCACACCCGCGAAAAACAACATGTTCCCCGCTGACCAGACGGGAGCAGACGCCCAATGTCACATTGTGACGTCACGCCGACGCTAGCGCCACCGCGTGGCGGGTGTGGGAAGCTCGCGTCTGCTGCTATTGCGTAAGATCGGCCGAGTCACTACAGCCGAAGCCGTAATATATCAGTTGATTACGCAATGCGGCAATATATTACAATATATTACTATAATTAAATAAGCGGGATTACAGCGTATAATCATCAACTAAGCAGTAATTTATTGCGATCGTTAATTAAGCGACATTGTTTTCTAATCATCAACTAAACAGAAATATATTACTATCGTTAGGGCTAAGCACCACTACGCGAGCGAGAAACAAATTTTCGCCCAATCATTAATCTTTGCGCGGCTTCGCTACTCACATGGGATCAACCTAATGCGATGACGTAATCATCATGCATGACGTAGCATGTGGTTAATGTGTTCTATCCAGGTGTGTTAGGTACGCTTGTCGTTTTAGCAATCAACAACGACGGAGTGTGAGCTTGAAACAATGATGCACGAACACACACACGCCTGCACGCACGCGCACGCACGCACGCACGCACGCACACACACACACACACACGCACACACACGCACGCACACACACACGCACACACACAAACACACACACACACATACCGGGAGAAAGGGGGCGCGAGAATAAAAGGGAGCGATGTAAAAAAAAAGACACGCAGAGAGATGCATGTGGAAGAAAGATAAAGAGCGGCACTTAATGAAGTGGTGGAAGAGGATAAAGCCCGGCACACATGCGGTGGAACTTGTTGCGCGAACTAAGTTCCACTAGTGGAAAGTGGCGCAGCAAGTTCTACAGCGTGTGCGGATGCAATAATCCTTCGATCTGGGGCGTGTGGATTCACAGTGTTTGATATTTTCAAGAGTACATAATAGAGATTAATGAGAGAATATAATCTCTATTATGCATCCAAATTGGCGCACCAAGTTCCACAGCGTGTGCGGCGGGCTTAAGAATTTGTAAGAACGTTTACTACGGATTTAATAAGGGGTTCCTCTTCGTTCTTCATAATTGCGTGATTGCGCAATTGCTTGGATTAAGGCGTAGCTGTGTCATGCATGGTTATTGTACCTGGAGCCCGCGCGCACGCTCGAGATGTCGACGAGCTAGCGGGCACGTCACCCGTGCAACCATTTCGCGTTTCTCAAAACGCTGAAATTTTGTAATAACTTGTTTGAATCGTGAACGCGTAGCACTATGATGTCGTCTATATAGCTTCTAATCTCATAACACGTGGCCATCGATTAAATGGTATATATTAGGTTATGTGTAGTTGCGATATATTTATATATATATATCAGGAGTAAATAATCACAATATGTGATTATTTACTCCCGATGTGTGTGTGTGCGTGTGTGCGTGTGTGATCTCTTTCTCTCTCTCCCTCTCTCTCCGTACACACGGTCTCCTTCTCTGTCATGCCCCGGGCATATTGGTTTATATGCATGGCCTGCATACCGGTTTATAGCACAGCGTTACCCCGGATTTTAGCTTACCGGCTGGCCTCGCCATCTTTGTTAAAAGTAACTTGTAAACTCTTCCACGACTTACCTCCATAGACTCCAAGATTCCCTCCTACAAGGCTAGCTTGCATTCGTTGTGTCTCGATCTACGTAATACATTGCAATTACCGATTTTTAACGAACCTTGCTTAATTTAGAGTCTCTCCCCCTTCTCGTTCTCACAGTTTATGTTGAGGGCCAAAATTGCCCTAATATTTCGGCTTGCAGTAAAGATATTGTTGGTCGCCCGCCTGCTTCTCTAGCGTTTATGAATATTTACAGGTCTTCTTATTAATGTCTCTTAAAGCGACAGTGATGCATTGATCACGTATATCTAATATTTCGTTAACATCGCCACGCGTATACGTTACTCCAGTTAACTGAAACCGGAAGCCTATACACCCCACCACTGCTCACAAAGTATAAGAATGACCATTAGTCAAATAGATTGATATCTAGTACAGACATCCCGACGGTGAAAATACACACAACCTTGCGAATGTAGGATTAGAGCTACTGTTAGAATTTGATACATTTAGATGTGTTCAATCTTTTTAAACACCATAGATGCACAAGCGCACATAGGTATATGTGCGCTGTCCGTAATTGCTTTCTTTTCTCTTAGGAACGCTAGATGATGAGACATTGGTGTGGATGAACTATCCACGATGTGGTGTAGCTGACGTGTCCGGTACTAGCGACCCGAACGTAGCAAGGAAGAAGCGATACGCCCTGCAAGGTAAGCCGCTTATCAATAATATATCTATATAGTATATCTAATACAAATATATAATAAATATTGATTATCAATAATACTGAAGATTTCTTAATTTTTTTAATTTAATTACTTTTAATTCTTCTTATTCTTATTCTTTTTCGTGATTATAATTGTTATTCATAATTCTATTTTTCTTTTATGTACTTATTTTAACGAAACTCGAATAACTCGGTCGATTCATCATCATTCCAGGCGTGGTTATTTCTTTCAGAGTTATTTGATTACAATTTGTCGGTTGGGATATATCCTACTATAATAATAATAGAAAATCCTACTAGACTTGTTGCAAAATACAGGCTGTATTTTAAACCACGGACGGCTACAGTGCGATGAATAAAATTATCTAAATAATAGAAAATAAAAAAGCAGATTCATTTTAATCTAGCGCTTTGTAGACTCTATACGCGCAATCTGTTTGCATATGCGTTGATAACTTTGTTTCGTTATATTTGGTGCCAACTAGAATTCCATTTAGCACGTTCGTACTCATGCAAATTGTATACATGTCGTGTTCCCACAAGTGATTGTTAGTACGATTGATAGATGCACTCGGTGATAATGCGCATCTTTATGACCGTGGTCTAACGATTTTTGTTATATCTTGTTTAGGTAGTAAATGGTCTGGCCACGAGATCTCATACTATGTTACAAAGTACACACTCGATTTAACAACCGAAAAAGTCGATCGAGAAATGGCAAAAGCATTTAAGGTACCTATATGTAGTTAACAGCAGCAACGACTGTGACGATGACTATGGTGAATACGATAGCTGTGACGCTGATAGTGGTGATTGTGTAGGAGGTGATAGTACTTATGGACACGCTGATATTAGTAGCGTTGACTATTTCGGCAGTAAAAGTCACACTAGCGACTTCATGATGAATCTTTTTCAACCGACACAAGGACTGTCTCTAACCCGTACACACTCATACTGGTTAAATAATACTGTGTAGAATACGGTCACCTATATAGACGCTTGAATTGCAGGTGTGGGCGGACATCACCCCACTCTCATTCGTCACATCTCGCGTTAAACCAGACATCGAAATTCGGTTTGAAAGCTGGAATCATAAAGATGGCGAGGCGTTCGATGGTCCGGGCAGAACGTTGGCACACGCATTTTTTCCAAAATACGGCGGCGACATGCACTTTGATGATGATGAGACATGGACCGTTGAGTCATATAGAGGTATATAATAGAGGATTCCCTCGATAACTGCCACTGTAATAGCAGCCAGGCGGCAGCAGCCAAGAAGTCTATAAGCAGTCGCAGCATTCATACAAACAAGAGTATGAACATAATAATCATCCTCATCATCCTCCTCTCCCTCATCTCCCTCCTCCTCCTTCTCCTATCATCCTCCTCCTCATCATCCTATCCTATGAAAGGATCCTATGAATCCTATCCTCCTCCTCCTCCTCATCATTATCATCATCATCATCATCATCATCATCATCAACAACAACAACGACAATGACAATAACAACAACAACAACAACAACAACAAAGACAATAACAACAACAACAACAACAACAACAACAACAACAAAGACAATAACAACAACAACAACAACAACAACAATAACACTAATAACACTGCCAGCAAGATACCCCTGCCACTCATTTGGTACAAAACTGCTGCTGTCAGATGCGAAGTGACTTAACTTCATATTCTGTGATCCTGGTAACTAGCTTTTGCATCGTATATCGCTTGTCATCGTCATTAATATCACGTAAACTGTTTCATCTGTGTATATAGGTTATATCAGGAGTTATAATAAAGACAAATTTTGTCTTTATTAAGCTCCTGTAATATCTGTGCGTTAATAGTGCATAGTTACAAGAGTACTTTGTTGTTCTTGTTCAGAGACTTTTCTCACATCCAGAAAAAATATTCTTCCATTCTCTTATGATTTGAACCATATTCGTAAACTTTTGCATTTAGTCAAACTTGCAATCCAAACATTGGTGACTATTCATCTTTCCTGTTGTTTTTGCACTTCATGTGCTTTACTTTTAACTGAATTTCTCCTTTATAGCAATCAAAAAACGTTGCAACAGATATCTGCTTACACGAAAAAATACTTTCATATCGCATGCGTATACTTACTCGTGCTTTTCGCTATAGATGACCAATACTACAGATACAGTCACAACAGCTTAGACGCAGGCTATCCAAAGCACATGTCCGGTAGGGTTGGACTACCGACAAGAAATAGATGCGACATTCGTATGGAAAAATGGGAAGAGTTACTTCTTCAGAGGATCTCAATACTATAAGTTCAACGATGGCGTAATTTGAGGTATTGTCAGGTATTCCATTTATAACTCAACCTGTAACCAGCTTATAGAGCTGTAACTAGTTTAGTAGTAGTAACTAGTGTAATAACTCGACCTGTAACTAGCTGTACCAGCTATAGAGACCATTTTTAGTTCTACACAAACAACTTCATTCATCCGGACTGAGAACTAAGTGCGCTTATTTTTGCTAGCGGTATAACGAGAACGTACGTAGACGTAGTAACTTTCCTTGTCGTTAACATTGTCGTTAGCATCACCTTTAGCGTGGTCCTGCATATCCGTCTTCTGTCGTCGTTTGCGTTGCGCGTTAACGTTATCGTTAAGATCAGACACACTTCAGCAAAAACTACCAACCGTAACGTCAGCGTCAACGTCGCAGCGATTCCCAGCATTCAACGTCATATTACTGAGTTTAGCGCACATTACCTGATTAGCGTCAACATTACTGAGTTAGCGTCACATTACTGAGTTAGCGTCAACATTACTGAGTTGGACTGTCTTATCATTACTGAGTTAGCGTCACATATTACTGAGTTAGCGTCAACATTACTGACTGTCAATATTACTGAGTTAGAGTCAACATTCTGAGTTAGCCGGTTCAATCATTGCTGAGTTAGCGTCAACATTTTGGAGGTTAGCCGTCAAACATTACTGATGTTGAGTGTCAACATTACTGAGTTAGCGTCAACATTACTGAGTTAGCGTCAACATTACTGAGTTAGCGTCAACATTACTGAGTTAGCGTCAACATTACTGAGTTAGCGTCAACATTACTGAGTTAGCGTCAACCATTACTGAGTTAGCCTCACATTACTGAGTTAGCGTCAACATTACTGAGTTAGCGTCAACATTATACTGAGGTTAGCGTCAAATTAAGTTAGCGTCAACATTACCAAGTTAGCGATCCAACATTACTGAGTTAGCGTCAACATTACTGAGTTAGCGTCAACATTACGAGTTAGCATTCAACATTACAGAGTTAGCGTCAACATTACCAAGTTAGCGTCAACATTACATGAGTTAAGCATCAACGTTACTGATTAGCGTCACACATAACGACGCGCCTGATGTTCCTTGCGTCTATGCGCAATAATCACGATTAAATATCACGCGCGTTTAATTCCCCGTTTTTAATTTTAGTTTTTATAATTTAATTCCCCTCAGCGTTAATATATCACGACTATTCGAACGATGCCTTCTCACGTGAATCATGTCTGGTTGTTAGGTGGAAGATGGCTACCCGAGATCCACTGGTAAGTGGTGGTTCGGTTGCTCCATCGAGGACCTGCAGGACACGTCGCCATCAGCGACACTAATCACAACACATGGGAGAATTTCACCGTGCCCTCTGAAGCGGACACGCCCGCTCGGACAGAGCCGCGAAAAAGAGACGGCGCCACACGGATGCGAAACCGCAATGCTGCGACGTCGCTTACCTGCCCAGGAGTGATATCACTCGCTGCTCTAGCTGCATATCAGCTGTTGGCGATGCTATGAGACTGTTCGATATCGCGAGCATCGGTGTAGATGTCATCACGGAGAAATTAAAGATGCTGTGCGTGTGTGTTAAATCTAGAGGATTTAGAGTGCAGAACCTAGAGGCAGAGATTTCAAGATGTTGTCGGAGGAAGATGATCTATTGTATTGAGCACCGAACAAAATCTTAGCACAAAATTGTGCTGAATGTGTCAATTTACAGATATCGGCAGCAGATATCAAGAGAAATATAGATAATACATGAGAAGATGATGGCACATCATTTCGAGTGAAGATCCATCGAATAATGTTTTTGGAAGCTGGATGATACCAGATAGCTGATAAGTTTATGCGTACATGAAAAAGATGAGGTGGAGGGTAATGAAGAGACGAAGAGAGAACCTGCACGCACACGCCACGCGCACGCGCACGCGCACGCGCACGCACACGCACACGCACACGCACACGCACACACCACACACCACACACACACACACACACATACCGGGAGAGAGGGGCGCCCGAGAATAAAAGGAGCGATGTAAAAAAAAAGAGACACGCAGAGAGATGCATGTGGAAGAAAAGATAAAGAGCGGCACTTAATGAAGTGGTGGAAGAGGATAAAGCCGGCACCACATGCGGTGAACTTGATGCGCGAACTAAGTTCCTACTAGTGGAAGTGGCGCAGCAATTCTACATGCGTGTGCGCGATGCAATAATCCTTCGATCTGGGGCGTTGTGATTTCACAGTGTTTGATATTTTCAAGAGTACATAATAGAGATTAATGAGAGATATAATCTCTATTAGCATCCAAATTGGCGCACCAAGTTCCACAGCGTGTGCGGCGGGCTTAAGAATTTGTAAGAACGTTTACTACGAATTTAATAAGGTTCCTCTTCGTTCTTCATAATGTCGTGATTGCGCAATTGCTTGGATTAGGCGTAGCTGTGTCATGCATGGTTATTGTACCTGGAAGCCCGCGGCGCACGCTCGAGATGTCGACGAGCTAGCGGGCACGGCACCGTGCAACCATTCGCGTTCTCAAACGCCTGAAATTTTGTAATAACTTGTTTGATATCGTGAACGCGTAGCACATGATGTCGTTATATAGCTTCTAATCTCATAACACGGGCCATCGATTAAATGGTATAATTAGGTTTAATGTGTAGTTGCGATTATATTATATTATATATATCAGGAGTAAATAATCACAATATGTG